GGCTTCTCAGTACTATTCTACAGTAAAAGGAATAGGGGCTCCTTGGAAAAATGTCTGATTCCAGATCTGGGGAAGGGGAAATTCAAGATGAGCTTGGAGAATCTTGAAGTGCCAAAAAGTGAGAGAAAGACAAGAGAGAGAAGAGAAACGAGGAGGGGTGAAGGCAGAGGAGCAGGAGGAGGCAAGGTATAGAGGAACCCATCTGAAAGAGCTCCCAATAACTAAAGCTAGAATGTTCTTAATAAAGACATATTGGATTAAATTCAAAAAATTCAATGAAGATGAAGACATCTATAATGCTATAAATAAATAATTGAATAAATGAATACATGCATGCAGAATGAATGCATGAATGAGTGAATGAATGAATGAATAGAACACATTTTTCTTACAAAAGAATTCCAAGTAATATATGTAGACACTTCCTCTTCCAGGAGGTGCAGATTAATTCCCCTTACCTTAATTATGGGCTGGGTTATGGTGACTAATTTCCATAGGAAAGAATACAGAAAGGGAAAATAGTGACTTTACAGTAAAGTAAATAAGCAGACATCACCCTCATCAACATCACTAGTGAGAAGTCATGTTCAAATTGGGCTTGCCCTGATGGGAGATGAGAAGAAGGATACCACAATTTGTGGTGTTTTTCCTAAACAACAGAGACACCAGTCAAGTCCTAAAAAAAACTTCATACCAACCCAAGCTGAGGAAGATTCTACAAAATACCTGACAAGTAGTTCTTGAAGGGTCAAAGTTACGAAGGACAAGGAAAGACTGAGAAAATGCTACAGATTAGAGGAGGCTGATGAAACAGGATGACTGAATGCAATGTGAGAATCTTGATTGGATCCTGAAATAGAAAAAAAAGACATTTGTGAAAAGTAGTCTGTATTTCAGTGAATCATTATCCTTAAGTTAATGTCTTAGATTTGACAAATGTACCAGGTTATGGAAAATGTTAATGTTAGAGGAAGTTGGGTAAAGGACATATGTACCTTGGTGCATGAAGGTCAATAAAACATATTAATCAGCTATAATATTCAGGTTTCCTACATTATAAATATTGAACTATCATTATGCATTTTGAAATATGATCAAATGAAATAACATTCTCCTCTCTCCCTTTTTCATATATATGTACATATGCATTTATGCACACACACACACACATAATTCATGGATTATTCCATAAACTAGATAGATAAGTAAGTGTATAAAATCTAGAAGGATACACACTAATATATTAATCATTAACATTGGTGATCTCTTGTGTTTGGGCATTCTCTATTATATTTTTTTAATTTCTTATCAACAATAAGCATGCATTATATATTTTTTAAATATAGCAATGGTGTTTTTAAATATTAAAATCTTTAGATGGTAAAAACTTCTCCAAAATATCTTATCCAAATTCATAAAGTAGACTATGTAACAATGGGGAAAAAAAGAGAAGCTTTCTACCATGTTATTTGAGAAGTGGGCACATTACCAGCTCTCAAGAGTTATTGTTAGAAACAAAACTGTGGAAGCACTATGATTTTGCATTCACTTTTTGACTAGCTATTATTGCTGTTCAGATTGCTTAAACAGTTCCACCATGCAGGTTTAATCACTGCACAGAAAACTTAATTCTAGGGAGTGATACACAATCAGGGTAATGGGGTGAAAAATGGTGGCTTGTCCCCAAATAACCACAACATATTATTAGATGTCAAATAAAATCTTAATGTATTTTTATAGGAAATAAAAGTAAATTCTGGGTGTTTCAATACCTCAGACTCTCTTAAAAGTGTATGGTATGTGTTCATGTATACATTGTATATCATAGATTATCTCCAGGAATTTTGTAATTTCAAGGTCAGCTCTAAGATTACAGTCACACACTGATGTTGTGAAAGCAATTAACCCATTGAAAAGGGATCACCTTTCATTACATAATGAGAGAGAACTGAGTTGCAAAGCATTTTGTCAGTGTTTCCGCTAACCACTGACCATTGTAAGATGAGGCTTGGTGGCTTGAATAGCATCCCTTCATGTTTTGTTAATATCCTAGGACTTGCCATAACCGGTTTGGCTCAGTGGATAGAGTGTTAGCCTGTGGACTGAAGGGTCCCAAGTTTGATTCCGGTCAAGGGCATGTACCTTGGTTGCAGGCACATCCCCAGTAGGGAGTGTGCAGGAGGCAGTTGATCAATGTTTCTCTCTCATTGATGTTTCTAACTCTCTATCCCTCTTCCTTCCTCTCTATAAAAAAATCAATAAAATATATTTTTAAAAAATCCTAGGACTGTCTGAAGAAAAAAAAAAACTATTCCCATCTTTCTGTCACTTTTTTATTTGCTCTTGTGCCACGCCAGCACGCCAAGGGTGATCTCGAGTGGGGGGGCGGGGGTGGTGGTGAAAGGATTAAGGAAAGACAGACAAGAGAATAATAGCTGGGTCTCGGTGGGATGCTGCCTCCCTGATGAGGAGACAACAACAGCGTCTACAAGCCATGTCTTTATTTTATAGCAGATGCCAGGAGGCAAAGTAGGGATGTGATCAAGTTGTTTACAGCATTCTCATGAGTTTCAACCTCACTTAACTACATGCACCTGAACTCTATCACAAGGCACATGGGGCTACATGTTTGGACCATAGGTTCAAGCTTACAACCACAGCCCTTGGCTATGACTGTGCTGGGAGGGCCCTGTCCTCCAGCTGGGACTTGCACATGGCAATGAGAGGACCCTGTCCTTTCATTAGTCTGAGGCTTGAACCTGGCCAAAACACCATACCGCGCCCCACAGCTCTAAATGCAAGGAAGAGAGACATCAACATTTGCATAAGTCACTATTCTATACCTAAAACTGAATGTAGATTTTGATTTAGGAGAAGATAGAGGAGGGATAAATTCTTGCTTCTATCTAAGCTCAGAGAACATGAATGGGAAATACGTTATGTCAAATAATATATATCACAGGTGTATAAAACCATGATGTGTCTGTTGTTCAACTGTCACTGATATAAAATTGAGTGCCGATTTTCTAGAATTCAGAATGTATCCCTTTCTTCCGACTTTTCCCTTATGAACTTTTCAAGACAAAAAATGATATCTACTAACTATTGGATTATCATCATCAGATTTCACTTTTTCTCCCTTTTATCTTTCATCACAGATGATAAAGATATTTTACTTGGAATTCATCTGGGACAGCATAGTTGATTAAGCTCAAGTCTAATTGCCTTTGCAGTGCCAGCGAAACCAAAATTAATGGCTGTTTTTCCCCCATAGTAAAATAAACCTCCGTGAGTCATAGTCTCAAAGAAGAGAATTCTGGAGATTAAGAAAGTCTTTTTATGGACAGTAAAGAACAGATTATTAGAATTATAACTTACATGTCAAAGTTATTTTTTTCTCTGAACTTTTTAGAATGCAGGAATTCTCTAAACTATTTTTTTAAAAACGCAAATATTTGATATAATAGGGTAAACATTTTTAAACGGTTCAAAATCTATCAATGATTTGAAGGAAGAACAAATTTTCTTTTTAAATTTAATTTTATTATATATATTAATTTTTATTGAACTTATTAGGGTGAAATCGGTTAATAGATTATACAAGTTTCAGGTGTACAGTTCTGTATTGTATTGTGTTCATCTCGCAAAGTCAAGTCTCCTTCTGTCACCCTTACCCCAAATTCAGAGACAGTATTGTAATTCTAAAGTAATTAGAGCTAACCAGTTTGACTAGGTTCGCTATGATTTCAAATTAAAAGTCAAATAAGTGGATTTAAAAAATACTTTTAATGACAAAGTTCTAATTATGAGAACTAAGTTTCTATTTTGTGCTCAAAGCTTGATCCTTGGATTGGAAAGGCACTGACCAACATGGCGTAATAAATTAGATCATTCCATTCCCATTTCAGGGGTGCATTAAGTAGCAGCTATAAAACAAATCCCCACCGTCACCTTCTTTTGAGGATGGTGACAAAATTGTTTATATTTCTAAAAATTTTATATAATTTCGTCTCCATTGAAATGCCTTAAAATCAAATTAGAACTTTTATAGTCATAATATAGACTAGATATTTGTTCTCTTAACTCATTTATGGCTAAGGCTCACTGTAGTCAAAAAGATGAGTAGCTGGATTTTCCATTCATTCTAAAGGCAGGGAGCCAATATGAAAATGCAGACAGATGGGAGGCCCAGGAGAAAATGGTAAAAAGCTTCTTTAAGTTCAGTTAGCCATAAAATCAGAGTACTACCATGAAAGTTTACTCAAAAAGTAGTAAGATATAAAAAACATTAGAAGCTGACTATATCACCAAACCCTGAATTCAAGTGCTTTCATTCTTTTGTCAAAGGAAAGCTAATTTGTGATAAAATGTGTAGTTTAAAATCATAAGAATTAGCCTCATTTAAAAAGGAAGACATTAAGATTTCATTGTACTGCAGGAATTAAGTTTTTTACTTATTTCAAATAAACTCTAGACTCCCACATAAAAATTTGAAGTATATAAATCATTGATGGCATTTATGTTACTCAACATAATTACAATTGAAGGCCATTATTTTTTTAAATATATTTTTATTGATTTCAGAGAGGAAGGGAGAGGGGGAGAGAGATAGAAACATGAATGATGAGAGAGAATCATTGACTGGCTGCCTCCTGCATAACCCCACTGGGGATTAAGCCCACAACCTGAGCATGTGCCCCAACCAGGAATCCAACTGTGACCTCCTTGACTTCTTGGTTCATAGGTAGATACTCAACACTGAGCCACAGGGGCAGGGCTGAAGACTGTTCTTGATGACTACTAGCAATACAACTCACACAGGACACACGATAAGTCAAAAGAAGAAATAGGACAAGAATCCGGGACTCCATATTTCTCAGAATAAAACACTTCCTTTTTTTTTTCTGTGCAGATAATGGTTGGAAATAGGTGTACTTCACACTGGATGGCAACATACAAAAACTGAACTATAATGTGTTCGTTTGTTTTTCTTATTTCAGGGGCTGATGTTATCAACTTTGATGGCCATGTTGTGTTGCCATATAGATTCAAAAACAAGAAGACGAAAACACTGAAAGATGTCATTGCCTTGAAATTTAAAACCACCGAGAGTGAAGGGGTGATCTTACACGGGGAAGGACAGCAAGGTGATTACATTACATTGGAACTGAAAAAAGCCAAACTGGTCTTCAGTTTAAACCTAGGTATGTTCCAACTTTTGACATCATTCTTTCCATTAATATTTCCATTAGAGAAGTATTAATTCTGTGTAACCCTTAAAATGTAAATTATTAAAAAAAGTTTACATTGTTATCAGTTCAGTTGAACCCACAGTGGTTTGATATATTGATATATAGATATATTTATTCATTCAAAAAATATTGCAAAACACCTGTATTGTACAAGGTATATATTAGTATCTGAATACAGTGGTGGACAAATAGAGAAGGACCTTGGGCTCATAAAGTTTATGCCCTAGTGGAGGGGTAAGGTAGTGTCTTATGTGTTGTTACCTTAAAATAACTAAGTCAAAAGAAATGATGTCAAATAATAAGTATAGTTGACCTTTGAACAACATGCAAACCCTCCCACAGTGGAAAACCCACATATAACTTTTGACTACAGTCAGCTCTTTGCATCAGCAAATTCAAACAACCATGGATTAAAAACAGTATTTTCTATTGGAGATTGGGAATCTGAGGTAGGGAATCCAAGGTTGGAATCTAATGTTAGGAATGCTAAAATTTGTTTTCTGTTCATGATCGGTTGAGTCCAGGGATACAAAGAGTTGACTGCATTCAATGAGTAAAACCTTCATATAAGTGAGCCCACCAAGTTCAACCATAGTATGAAATCAATTAAATGGGCTAATATAATTCTGCAGAGGTAAGAGGGGTCAATATTGGAATATGTACTGAGAAAGGTCCTCTACAAGATGTTCAAGTTGCTATCAATGACAAAAGACAACCATGGGAGAAGAGCTTTTAAAGGAAGCAGTCACTACCGACAGAGCCCTTCCTTGCCGTTCCTTGAGCAAGGAAGATGATGTAGATAGAGGCAGTGAGTAATTGAGAGAGAAGATGAAATCCAAAAGTTAAGAATTGTTCAAATCTGTAAGAACCTGGAGAGCAGGGGTGTGGGACCGTTTTTCTGCCATGGGCTATTCGGATATTTATAACATCATTTGTGGGCCATACAAAATAATCAACTTAAAACTTAGCCTGCTAAATTTAGGGGAAAAATTAAACTAACTCATCCCTAATGCGTTGACAGGGCTAGACTAAAAGATTTTACAGGCCTTATGCAGCCCATGAGCAGAACGTTCCCCACCCTTGCTGTAGAGCATGGCACAGGGTTAGATACTATTTTTTAAGCATGAGAAGTTTACTGAGACCTCTAGAAAGATAATGGTTCCATCCACATGAGAGTTGAAGATGGACTCCTCAAGTACAAGATGAGCTGTCTCTGTCTTTCAGAAGGTGGCTGTCAGTGGAGATGCAGAAAAATAGGTCCACTGTTGAGATGATTTTAGTGGCACTTTCAGCATCATTTGTAATGAATTGGGTGTTTAGTAAGAAAGGAAGAGATCAAGTAAAAGGTAATTCCTAGGATATGACTTTGGTGCCATTTTCAGAACTAGAGAAAGCTCTATTTTCTCTGTAGAGGAACATTAGTTTAGAGGATCATTCATTTCTTAGACATTTCCTCCAGGAACCGCAGACTTCTGTGTTTGGACAGGGTGCATTTTAGTTGCTGATTGATCATCAAAGTTGAGATTTCTCTTAGAGTGGCATGCCTGAAATTGACAAAAAACGGTGCTGGTTGGAAACTAAGAAGAAGGGGGCAATGGATAGGAGGAAATAAGAATATGTGATGTCAGAGACGAGGAAAAGAAAATTGGTGGTTACTGTGTTGAAGTCTCTTAAAATGTCACTTAAGAAGACAGAAAAGGGAGGTTACTGTTTAGCAACACAGAGGTTACTGGTGATTTACTCTCAGAATAATATGCATGTAATATAAAAAAAAAGCTGTCTGGACAGAAATAGACCACACTCTTTATAGTGACGGAAATAGGTGCTAATGTTTTACATATAAATTCTTCATAGTATTCTCTACTCTTTTTTTAAAAATACATTTTATTGATTTTTTACGGAGAGGAAGAGAGAGATATAGAGAGTTAGAAACATTGATGATGAGAGAAACATCGATCAGCTGCCTCCTGCACATCTGTGCCCGCAACCCAGGTACATGCCCTTGACCGGAATCGAACCTGGGACCTTTCAGTCTGCAGGCCGATGCTCTACCCACTGAGCCAAACCGGTTTTGGCTTCTCTACTCTTATTATTGAACAGGTATATATGTGTTACCTAGGAGAAAATTAGCCCTAAATAATTTTTTTGAAACAAGGTTCAATAGGAGTTAAAAAGACAATATACAAATGATGTATCATAGAGAATTATACATTTGAAACCTATATAATTTTCATGAAAAAAAATGAAGTTAATAAGGAGGAAATGGGGAGAGAAACACAGGAAACTTGTAAGTTATTTTTAAAAATACACACACACAGCAACTGGATTATATCTTTAAAAGTTTATATTTTCAAACTTTTTTCTTAAAAAAATGTAAAACATACAGAGCCACTGTGTGTTTACAAAGGTGTGACATTACGTTACTGTTCTGAAACAAGTAATTGCTCATATGACACCCCCTCCCCCGCCCCCGACACACACACACACACACACACACACACACACACACACACACACTATCACTATCAGTACCATTTCCCTGGATAGCAGTTTACTTAAGGGCTTTTATTGACTGACTAAAGTTTATGGCTGCCATGGAAACAGTCATTCACTGTCCCTTTTTTAGGCCACTACCTAAATATCAGGTACATCTAGCTGCCGCTTAGTGTTCTAGTCTAACTACTTAAATAAAACTTAATGTAGCCTTTCACCTGGAATTCTCCCTTCCTCCTCAATGTACACCCACAATCACCATATTTGATTTCATCACCAAAGGAAGAACATTTGATCTAGGAAATACATAAAAAATGCCAGATATAGGTATCATTAGCACCTTAAATATGGGAAAAAGGGGAAATAATTTAATCATTCAGGCATTTCTGTGTTTTTCTTATTTTTATTATGCTTTTCATTCTGAAACAATATTATATTTTTATAGCATTTATTTTTGCCTGACCATAAAAAGCAACATTTCACTTGACAAAATAGAAAGTGGTATATAGTATATACACAGCATCCCCAGATGACCTTAGTAAACATTTTGAATTCTCACAGCCTTTCCCTCTTATTTGTAGTCTTATTTCTATGGAGATCTTATTTCAAAACTAGATGAAAGCAACATATGTATTTTTGCAGGTTTTTATTTTAAAGTGTGACTTCTATACTTTTTCATGTCATTAAATATTGCATTGTGCTTAAGATTATGGTACTTGGATTCAGAGGAAATTGACAATTGTCATGCTGCATTTTCTTGACCGAAAATAACAACACTAAGCTCAATAATAACAAACTGTTAACAGATACTATTTAATGAATATTCACTAAATGCCAGGAAGTGTGCTAGGGTCTTTGCATGTACTGAGTAATGTAATCCCCACAGCAACCTTGTAAAGCAGGTACTATTATTTTCACTTTTTTTACATCTGAAGAAATAGAGACCCAGAGAAGTTGTCAACTTGCCCAGCATCAGTGAACATCAGAAGCTAGGCCCTCTGGCTTCAGAGCTCATGGGACACTGACTTCAACAGGAACCTAAATTTTTTAAAGCTCATTATTTTTAAGGGAACAGATATTTTCATCTTTACTAGCTTTTATGTACTTTGAAAATAAAACTTTTTAAGTCTAGTCACATGCTGGTTTTCCCTATAGCAACCTCAGTAGACAAAGCACCTCAACTCATAGTGGGTTTTTTAAAATTTATTTTTATTGTTGAGAGTCTTACAGATGTTCCCCATCCTCCCTCCCCCCACCATGTTAGTCCCCCTTCACTGAGCTCCTGCCTGACCTAGGCCTTCATGACACTATTGTCGGTGTCTATGGGCTATGCATATATGTATATACTAAATTCTTTGGTTAATCTCTTCCCAACCCACTTCCTCCTCCCTTCCCTCTGAGATTTGTCAGCCTGCTCCATGCTTCCATGTCTCTGGACCTATTTTGCTCATCAGTTTATTTTGTTCATTAGATTCCACATGTAAGTAAAATCACATGGTATTTGTCTTTCTCTGACTTGCTTATTTCACTTAACATAATCATCTTCAGGTCCATCCATGCTTACAGCTGCATAGTATTCCATGGTGTAAATGCACCACAGCCTTTTTATCCACTCATCTGCTGATGGGCACTAGAGCTATTAGTGTTTTAATAAAAGGTCTTCTTCTACCCAGAGCCGTGATGTCACCACCTTATTTCTTTTCCATTCCCGTGATGCAGGAAGCAACCAGCTTGGCCCCATATATGGCCACACGTCCGTGATGATGGGGAGCCTGCTGGATGACCACCACTGGCACTCCGTGGTCATTGAGCGCCAGGGCCGGAGCATTGACCTCACGCTGGACAGGAGCGTGCAGCACTTCCGCACCAACGGGGAGTTCGACTACCTGGACTTAGACTATGAGGTGAGCTTGAGGACATATAAGCTGTGATCAATGTCGAGTGGCTGCCTCCATCTCCCACTTGTATTATTGTTAATTATGTGCCTTCCTCACCATTTTCATTTTGTTCTCCAAAGAAAAATTAACTTATAATTTCAAAACCTAGTTTATTAATATATGTCATTTTATTCTTTTATAAATTTCAAATAATAAATATTTGAAAAATTTTTAAAATCTTGGTGCCAAAGTAACAATTTGAAGAGACCGAACATCTATCATGTTATCAGGATTACTTAACAAGTCCTGAATTAATTTAAGTTATAATCTTTCCATTTCTTATTCATTATAATGTAAATTACACTATTTTACTTCATAATACACAGTATTATAAACAAAGAGTTGCCTAATATTTATTACAAAATATTGAATAAGAAATCCTGAGTTCTGATTTATATTAAGCCATTTATAAAGTTATGACTATTAATCGTTCTTTTGACAGGTTCTATTTTCTCAGATATAATTGTCACTAAAGCAATTGAAATAGATTATATTTTTAAAAAATCGTCCTTAAATAAAAATGGCTATTTCTTATCCTCCAAATGATCAAAGATTAAAAAAGCTATGATATTGGTCTAGTAAAATTATATATTCTCATAATATACTGGTAGGCATACCAGGTATTTTAATAAAGTATTTGGAGAGCAATTCAACCTTTAAATGTCCATTCAAAAATGTTAATCATATATAGTAACAAGAGTTCTCTAAGAACATAATAATCACAGCATAATGTATTCTAAGAGAAAAGGGATAATGCTAAATGAACAAGCAACGCATAGCAGTAAAATAAGCAGGATGAAATATTAATCAGCCAGAGGCTTATGAACTTCTTAATTCACGGAACCCTTGGTGTCTTATTAACTTTCCACAGCCATCCATGACCCTTCTATAGTGGTTAGACCCGAACAACTTAATAAATGTTTATGCCCTAAGAATACAGTGGCCATTTGAAAAACAAAATACATATAAAATGAAAGGGCAAATTATAATTTTATTTTATTCTTACGATAGTAATTATTTACTAATTAGAGGCCTGGTGCATGAGATTCGTGCACAGGATGGGGATGTACCTCAACCCGGCCTGCACCCTCTCCAATCTGGGACCCCTCGTGGGTTATCCAACTTCCGGTTTAGCAGTCAGACATCCCTTTCACAATCTGTGACTGCTAGCTCCTAACCGCTTCTGCCTGCCAGCCTGATTGCCCCCTAACCACTCCCCTGCTGGCCTGATTGATACCTAACTGTTCCCTTGCCATCCTGATCACCCCCAACTGCCCTCTCCTGCTGGCCTGGTCGCCCCCAACTGCCTTCCCCTACTGGTCTGTTCACCTCCAACTGCCCTCCCCTGCTTGCCTGGCCACCCCAAACTGCCCTCCCCTGGTGGCCTGTTCGCCCCCAACTGCCCTCCCTAGCTGGCCATCTTGTGGCAGCCCTCTTGTGACAATGTCATGCATGGGTGTTGTGTGAGGGTATGATGCCACCTAGGCTTTTATAATATAGGACTAGTGGCCCGGTGCACGAAATTTGTGCATGGGGGAGGGTGTGTTCCTCAGCCTGGCCTGCACCCTCTCCAATTTGGGACCCCTCGAAAAATGTCCTGCCAGTTTACAGGGATTGGGCCTACACCAGTAGTCGGACATCCCTCTCGTAATCTGGGACTGCTCTGCCAACACTGCAGCCACCGCTACTGCCTCAGCCACTGCCTGCCCAAGATCCATGGCTGTGGGGAGAGGGCCCGCGCCCACGCCCCGCAGAGAATCAGCTGGGAGGGAGTGCTGTAAGCTGGCAGTGGGGCCAAGGACCGGTCCCTGGACCCCGCCAAGTGGGCCCAGCTGCAGAGGAGCTGCCCTCCAATGTCCAGGGCGGGGGTCCGGGGTTGCTCCCTGGCCTGTGCTCTGCCCATTCCGCCCTCGATAACCATGCTGGGGGTCCGGATCGCTGCCTGCCTTGCAACATGGCCCTCCCGCCCTCTGATCGCCATGGCTACCGAGGGACACAGGCCCTCCCGCCCTTCAATTGCCATGGCGATCAGGGCCGCAGGCCAGCCAGCAACCCCAGTTTTCCCATGGCGATCACCCGCTCGGGGGTTGGGAAAGGCAGCCGTTGCCCACCCCCCAACTCTTGCCTGCTGCCTGGGTTGCCGATCACCATTCTTCAGTCCTTCCCCTTTCACCTCTCATCATTGCAAGTATGCAAATTAACCGCCATCTTTGTTGGCGGGTTACCGCCATCTTTGTTGGCGGGTTGCCGCCATCTTTGTTGGCGGGTTACCGCCATCTTTGTTGGCGGGTTACCACTATCTTTGTTGGCGGGTTACCGTCATCTTTGTTGGCGGGTTACCGCCATCTTGGCTGTCAGTTAAATTGCATATCTCGCTGATTAGCCAATGGGAAGGGTAGTGGTCGTATGCCAATTACCATGTTTCTGTTTTATTAGATAGGATGTTATTGGAAAGTAGAGGATGGTTCCCCCTTTTCCATTGAAGCACCTGGGTAGGATTTTAGAGAGAATCAATTTCATGGAATGAAAAGCCTGGGTTTGAATCCCTTTCTGCCCTTTACTGGTTGTGTGACAGTGGCGAAATCATGCTCACCTTCTATAAAATGAATATAATGGCACATTTACTATAGGGTTATTTGAGGAGACAACAGGAAGTAAGAGAAACCACCATATATGTCAGTTATACTTCATTAGACAACACATGAAAAAAACCTATTTTTATTCTCTTTCATACAAAAGGAGCCCCTAGGCAGGTAGCCCTGGGCTCAAATGGCAGCATCACGGGCATCAAGATCCCCATCTCTCCTCTTGCTACTCCTCCTCCCCACTGCAGATCCCTCCAAGGGTGCTACTCATTCCATGTTGCTTTCCAGCCAGCGGGAAGGAGAGAGAGGGAAGGAAGGTGAACTATAATTCTTGGAGTCACACACAGACCTTTCATTTAAATCTCATGAGACCAAAACTTGCTTCAAAGTGATCTGTAAATGCCACCATTAGACAGGGAGCAATGTGTGGAACTGAAAAGCATTTTTTTTCCTCTAAAGAAAGTTGAGAGAAAGGACACTTAGAGGTATTTAATAGTCTGCCACACTTTATAAATCTTGGTAGCTAACAAGATGGTTAATGCAGCTGTTTTTCAGAGTAATCCTTGAATGGCAATATCAGTGGTAAGTCCATCATATGATGCATATGAATATCTGATGATTAATAACTGCAACAGTTTTTAATATCAGAATAGTTACAATTTCAGAAAGTATTTTTGTGGTCCAGCCACTTTATTTTACTGATGAGACTACAAAACCAGAAAGAAGGGATTAGTTACATTCTCATATCATTAGTTGCATTAGGAACTGGGATTGGAACCTGCATCTATTAGTTGTAAGGAGCCTGGTAAATTGAGCCCTTGATGCTTCCTGCACCGGAGCACCTTCCATAAGGGAGGACGTGTGCCAAGGGTTGCTGAAAGCAGAGAAACGAGGAGTGTCTGAATCAGCCTCCCAAAGGAAAATGTAAAGCCCTAGATAAGCTATGCACACAAAGAAGGAATCAAACAACTCTTACAAACTGGGGTTTAGGTATATTTCAATATGTGATATTTTGTTGAGGATTTCAGCATCTATGTTCATCAGGCCTATATTTTTTTTCTTTGTAGTATCTTTATCTCATTTTTGAATGAGGATAATGTGGCCTCATAAAATGAGCTTGGGAGTCCTCCTTCTTCTTGAATTTTTTGGAAAAGTTTGAAGAGGATAGGTGTTTTGTTGTTTTTTTATGAATGCTTCATAAAATCCATCCCTGATCGTAGTATTTCATGAAATGAGCTGCATCCCTGACTTTGAATTCATATAATATTTCAAATCTTTATAATAAAGTGTTCTCTTTTGCCTAAGCTAAAAGAAATGTGATACTGCCTGTCATTCAGCATAAAAGATTTTATTACTATCAACTAGGGAAGAAATTGATAAAATAAATTATAGATAGGAAATTAAATATTTTTAAGTATAAATAATTCTTACCCTTGGTGTTAGGTAAACCTATATATACCTAATACGTTCAGCTCGATGCTACTTAAAAACACTGTTTTTCAATAATTCTATGTTCTTGGTTATTCTCAATTTTTCCTTTTGTAGTTTTCTAATTTTTAAATATATTATCAGTTTTCCTCTTTTCTTCCTATATATAAACTTTACATTAAATGATATATAGCTAACCATTATTTTTTTAATTTATTAAGTGAGTTATTCTGGGGTTTTTTATATTATCTCATAAGCCATCAATGATTATGGTTTATGAGATAATATAAATCTAATTAGACATTTAAAATGACATGTTGTTAAACAATGGAACATAATTTTCTAATGGCCTCCTAGCACACAAAGATCTTTGCCTTATGTATCAAATATGAAGTCTTGACATTTAAAAACTTTTGTTTTCAAAACTTTGTGAGAAAAATTGATGATAACACTGAGTGATAATTAATCATATAATATCTAGACTACATATCATGATATTACATCTATGATTAGTAGATTCATTTACTACTAATTAATTATTAGCAATGCATAAGTAAGTCTAATTTCTATTATATGATAATGATATTACAGTGCTGTAATTTGACCAAAGATATATGGAAAACACATAATCTTTTTTTATAGGCAATAGTAGCTAGAGATTCATGGGAAGAAATAGTGACCTTCTTCCTTATAATTTAAAAGACCTATCATATCTATAAGCCTGTACTTCTCAAGTTACAGCCCCGAAATTCTAAGATGTTCCTACTCAAAGTAGTAATGAGACTTCCTGAACTATTTTCTCTATTCACCATAAGTCTAATGAATGTTTGACCTTAAAGGACATTAGACTACAATAAGTTTATGTCAGGTAAATACAATATTCCTTGCTTTTGGCTGTAGTTTTATCAATTTATATAGTAGTGTTGATTATCTCATGATGACTAGAGGCATTTATTGATAGCATGTCTTTGAAGGATAAACATAAAGATGTATTTTAATATTACTTAATATGTTTGCTGTGTAAAGTGTTTTAAAACATTCTCAGGATAAATTATAAAATGCCTTTTGGGTAGCACAAACTCAAGGGATTGTTGCTATTTTCTTGTTCAAGTTATAATCTAATTGCCAGAATTAATAATACTATTATGCACTTCAATAACAACAAAAATTTAAATATAATAGATTTGGAGACAGAAAAATGTCTGTATATATTGGTTGATGTAAATACAACAGACCTTGCCTGTATTGATAGTTCTGTCTCATTAAATGTGAATGGTATTTTTTTAAGTCAAATACAGTATGAATGTTTTGTTGGTGTTTTTCTCAAAGATCACCTTTGGAGGCATACCTTTCTCTGGTAAGCCCAGTTCCAGCAGCAGAAAGAATTTCAAAGGCTGCATGGAAAGCATTAACTACAATGGCATCAACATAACTGATCTTGCACGAAGGAAGAAGCTGGAACCTTCAAATGTGGTAAGATCTTTGCCCCCCGAAATATTGGTTCATAGAAAAATCACAGAACTTGCATTTTCTATGGACTATTGTATAACAACATCATAGCATTTTTTGTCACACTCATGTTGGGCTCAACAGTATAGAACTGACTTTAGAATTACCAATGTGTAGATCCTGGATGTACTCTAAGAATCGATACTGGATTTTGAGTTGGATTAGCTGGAAATAGATAGTGAGTTTTATTGGTAAAAGTAAACATGTAAAAATAATCATTGGCGAAGGTACAGAGCAAACTTAATTTTAATATTAATTCAGAGAGAGTCTGCCATAGATTTAATAGTTAATGTGCTGAAGTGAAAGAACTATGCATCTAGAGATAGATAATGGTGTTGTGTAAAAAAAAGTGAAGGCCCAGTTAAAAATATAAAATCATATTTCTCAGAATATTATGGTGGGATCAAAGAAGCTGAGAATAAATGTAGATTTTCAGATCTTTAAAAGGAAGGTACTTAGACCCTGGAATATAAAATTTAGTGTATACCAATATAAAATTCAGTATATCAAATTTGTGTGTACAAAATAGGGGGATTATGAGATAGAAGGAGTAGTTTTGCAATTTTTGCTTTAATTTTGTACATTCATGTCACTGTTTCCATAAGCATTAATTCATTATTATGTAAGCACAGTTCATGGGAATTTCAGTGGGATTTTTAGTTGAATAAAAAAAATAATCTGAAATAACCAAAACTATGCTGATACTAAATAATTAAAATTTATATATAAGTATGGGTGTAAAACCCAAGGTCATTTTCTCCAGAATATCAGTTTAATAATTGGCAACCTAATGACCATGACTCCCACTGAGACCAGAGTAATATAATAATAGCCATCTGAATAGGACATCCAGAAGAAGACAGAGGCATCACCTTCCCAGCTGATACATCATTATTTAGGGGGGAGAGAAGCAGCTTTTTGCTGTCTTCAGAGAGTCCAGTGGTCCATTCTGAAGCTCTCAGAGATGCACAGCCCATCCACTGGTCAGTCCATCACAGCAGACTGCCTATCAATTTCATGATAGATTGTGCTTGTTACATCCAAACTTGATGACTAACTCTGCACCTTGTTAGGCATACATGTCAAGGTATCCAACTGCTGAATTCAAGTCAGCCTATTACATGTGATAGTTTGGGACAGGCTAAATTTCTGCTTTGAAATATGTAGAATTATAGCTTTGTCTACTGTCTTCTATGGATCCTTACTTTATTCTGCATTTTCCTCAAAGAATGCCCTTCTGTTTTACAGGGAAACCTGAGTTTTTCCTGTGTGGAGCCCTACACAGTGCCGGTCTTTTTCAATGCCACCAGTTACCTGGAGGTGCCTGGACGGCTCCACCAGGACCTGTTTGTGGTCAGTTTCCAGTTCAGGACTTGGAACCCCAATGGCCTCCTGCTTTTCAGTCACTTTGCAGATAATTTGGGCAACGTGGAGATTGACCTCACTGAAAGCAAAGTTGGTGTTCACATCAATGTCACGCAGACCAAGATGAGCCAAATAGACATTTCCTCAGGTCAGTGAAATCTCCTGATGTTTGCTCCTGAAACTGCTGAGGCGATTTCCACAGATAAAGTTGCATTGGTTTGGTTTGGTTTGGTAGGTGTTACATGCTGGTGGTTATATTTGGATCCCGTCTGAAATTCTTTCTTGGTTGCCCTAAGTACTGTTTGAGTAAGGGAAACTTGGAACCTTACTGAGAAGGTGAGGGGTGGGCGAGGAGAAAAGTTGGTTGGACTGCCTTAGGGCACCAAAATCTTCTATTTCCTATAAATGCTAATTCCTATTTAGTGGAGAAATTGATATTTCTTTAAGTTAATATTTTATCTTTAAAAACAAAGAATATTTATTTTACTAACATACTAGTACCTGGTATCTTTTGATTTCATGGTCATTCAGATATCTTTTACAATTAGTAATGGGATTATAATAATTTAATTATGACTTCAAAGGTCTATTCAACCGCCTGAATCAAAACTTCAAAGGATTTTGTTAAATTTGTGCAAATGTTCGGGGAAAAGCAAACAGGAGTGAGTACAACGTGCACGTGTCAACCAAGGGGGTGCTTTTTAAACTCGACATCACAGTGGCATGATAAGCTGACACTTAGGTAACACTGTTGTTACCTGAACAGACGTAGCAACCTTGGAATATTTTTTGAGTAATGTGGTACAAAGAAAGTTGAAATTGCAAAGTGGGATATTCTAAACAAAGAAAAATTCGACGTGTTATGGGAGTGATAAGCAGTAAAATGTTCACACAGTTTCACTAGATGTTTCTAGCAATGGTTGTGTTTGTTTTGTAAAGCACTCCCTAGACGACAGAGAAAACTGATGTTTCTGAGCACCTTGGACAGATGTACAAAACACAGAGAGGAGGTTCCTGACCGAGTGCTCAGCTGCATGACTGCCTGCAGGCTAGACTTTCCAGGTTCACTGGTGACGCCATATGCATACCCCTGACACTGTTCCTAGCAGGTCATATTATTTGTGTTCGGCTCACTCCCCTCTGTGTGGTCAGCTCTTTGAGGGCAGTAGCCAGGCCTGTTCTATCGTTGGCATGTAGAACAGCACTTATAACAGAAGAGGTGTCCTGGGGAATGTTTGTCAAGTTCAGCACAGTGGCCCTTTGATCCAGTGTTCACTAACAGGGTGTCTTTTGCAGCAGGATGTATGTTTTTTTATTTTATTTTATTTATTTTTTTGTAAATAGGCTTTGTGTTTCTGTATGGACTGTTGCTGAAAAGAATTCAAGGAAGACATAGTGACCATTCTGTAAGAGGTGTTTCTGAAATCAAAGGCTGGTGTGAACTACCTAGATGTTTACTTTTTCAGTTTTTGCTTTGTTAGTTGTGCTTTTTCCCCTGAATGTTCCAAGTCAAAATGATTGATCAACCATATTTTATCACTACTTCCCAGTACAAATTCACTTGGGGAGATTTAGTAAATAGAAAATATCTGGAGAGATCAGTATAGCACATAAAACAAATACACAAATAAATATTTACCGCAGTCGGAACACTCACTAAATCCTGTCATGATTCATGGCTCTTTTCTAGTGACGAACCACATAAAAACACTCAGCAAGGCCTCCGTCCTGGAGTGCTCTTAACCAACCCAACTTCCTGAGACCATTATAATGGAAAGAATAGGATCTTAGACATAGTGATCAACAGTTACTAATTGAATTTGGTCTAATTTAGGATTCCAACATACTCTCATTTAATTTAAACTGTGTTTATTAAAACATAAAGAATAAAGAAGTCCAACACTTAACAACTAATATATTTTAATAGATTTGCTTAAGTGTGATAAAATTGGTCTTTAGAAATTTGTGTCAATTTAGCCAATTATCCATGCAAATTAAGGGAAACTGGCATGAAATCTAAATATTTCTATAGTCTCCCTCTTATATATTGTAATGAAAATACCTTAGTGTTTCAGATCACTGCTGTGTTTTTTTTCCTATACATGTAGTAAAAACTGAAATCGCATCAGATATCATTTCTCAAGTTTGAGAAATTTTAGTAAGTAAATAGATACACATACATTTTTAAAAAGTCGAATCCTGTACTCATTGAAATTGTGTTTATTAAAAAGAAAAGGAAAAGAGGGAATCCAATATGTTATAACTCCATTCATTCATCCTACAAATATATAGAATGTGCATAGAACACAATTTTCAAATATATTTTAATGCATCTTACCAAATTCAATTAAATGTAACTTAGTGTAAGTAGCAACAATGAAAAAATAATTTAGAGAAATAAGTTACCTTTAGATGTACTCTAATAATGAGGATGTTTTCTTTTTCTCTCCCATTAAAAAAATTGCCACTAAATAATTTTATGACCTAAAAACAAATTGTGATCACAGTTTGGAAAACACTAACCTACAGATTTGTCTCCTCAATTGAACTGTGGGAATTTTTTAAAGTTCTAGTGATGTCATTATAATAACCTGGTTATTATTTAACAGGAAAAGAACAAAGGGGAGACTAAATGATATAGACATACCATTTATACGGCTTTGCCAGGCAGCTGCAGTTTAACACTCCCCAGGTCTATTGCCTGCAAATAAATGGGCGAAGGGACTGGGCAATAGATAGGTGCCCAGTGAGATCTGGGTGACAGGGGAAGAGGCTTATCTGTCAGTCACACCTGGGAATAGTCAGTGGCCAGAATAGGTATGGCCACTGCAAGGACATGAGATTGAGACGGTTAATTCCTAAACACAGAGAGCTCTCTCCCTGGCTCTCCTGGCTCCTGTGCTTTTGGCCCTCTTGCTCTCTTGGGGCTCCTGTTGCAGGGGTGCACTCCCCTGTGTGCACCCCCCCGTCTCATGGCCATGTGGGGTCCACACAGTGCGTGGTGATTAGCCTGATGCTACATCAGACTCAGCTCTACCATGGAATAGAAAGTCTGGGCACTGGGCACTGGCTCTACTGAATCCCAGCTGCACATTTTCCAAGCCTGGAATAAGGGACATGGAACTTTACAAATCAAGAAATGTAACTGTATACAAATAAAAACTATTTATTCACCTGTATGAACCTTAAAGAATTCCTTTTCTGAAGATATCACAAGAACCCCACTCCCACCAGTGAGAGAGGAATTCCACCCACCCAATCCTCCAGCAACATTTGTTGCTCAGGGGGATTTACTATATCATTTTATATCAGAAAACTAAAGGTGCCTTTCAGACAAATTATGATATTATAATAGTAGTAAAAAAGTAATCCACATGTATTATTATCTGATGTAGCCAAAAGGAAGGAAAAAGAGAGGAAAAAAAAAACCCTCAAATACTAGTAAGGTGTTTTTTGTTGTTGTTGTTTTTTTAATCATAAAATGCCTTAATTTTATGCCACTAAATCACAAATCGATGTTTAGAATAATACTCTAAAGTTGTGATCAGTTGAGAAGAATAAGGTCATAAAATGTGATTCAGCATTTATATAGTGGAAGGAAAGTTAATTCTATTAATGACTTTTCTCACCTATTTAAAAAAAAATCAATTTCCATCCATGTAAACAAAGCCTTTCAGCAAAATCATTCAGCTTCTGCCCTGTTTCTAAATCAACCATTTGCTACTAGTAAGCTGAAGTATTCAAATCTCCTTGTTTTGTTCAGGAGGACATTGCTTCATTTTAGAATGACTTTTCTGCTTCCCTACTGCACTGGACAGTAGTACTCAGCAAATATCACCTTTGTTTGTAATTCTACCTCCAAAGAGAATTTGTGTGTGTGTGTGTCTCTGTGTGTGTGTGTGTCTGTGTGTGTGTGTGTTTTGTTTGTTTATTTTTTGTTATTTGTTTTTTGTTTGTTAACCTTTGAGTCCCATTTGGGTGTGTTAAGGGAAAGCAGCTTAGTCTCTGGGCTGTCCTAGTAAAAGAGCATAACAGGGTGCTATGTAAACAACAGGCATTTGTTTCTCATAATTCCAGAGGCTGAAAGCCCAAGGTCATGGCAGTAGCATGGTCGAATTCTGGGGAAGGCCGTTCTCCAGGTTGCAGACTGGGGACTTGTTGCTGTGTCCTCACCTGGTGGAAGTGGGTAAGGACCTCTGTGGTGCCTCCTTTGTAAGAGTACTGATCCTATTCATGAGAGCTCTACCCTCATGACCTAATAACCTCATGAAGGCCTCACCCTCTCCTACCATCACACTGGGCATTACGATGTCAATCAAGTTGAACCTTAAATAACATAGGTTTAAGCTCTGCAGGTCCATGTATATGTGGATTTTTATCCAGTAAATACTGTAAGTGTGTCTTTTTCTCCTTATGATTTTTAAAATACTATTTGCTTTTCTCTAGCTTACTTTATTATAAGAATATAGCATATAATACATAAACATACAAAATATGTGCTCATTGAATGTCTGTTATCAGTAAGGCTTCCAGTCCACATTAGGCTATTAACAGTTAAGTTTTTTTGCGAAATCAAAGGTTATATATGCATTGTTGATTGCATGGGGGGTTGGTGCCTCTAACCCATATGTTGTTCAAGGGCAAACTGTATATGAATTTGGGAAACATAAAAATACAGACCATAGCACAAGGAATAGATGTTTTCTTGGCTTTTTGTGTAGCCAGGGAACTTGCTGGTAAATGCTAGCAAGTTACCAGTTTGATCTCAGTAAATGCATTTCCCTGGGACTGCTTATGGTACTAAGCAATTAGACCAGTGATGACGAACCTTCTGAGCTCAGCATGTCAGCATTTTGAAAAACCCTAACTTAACTCTGGTGCCGTGTCACATATAGAAATTTTTTGATATTTGCAACCATAGTAAAACAAAGATTTATATTTTTGATATTTATTTTATATATTTAAATGTCATTTAACAAAGAAAAATCAACCAAAAAAAATGAGTTTGCGTGTCACCTCTGACACGCATGTCATAGGTTCGCCATCACTGAATTAGACTCTCTCTCCTCTTGGTTTTATGAACATCTGAAAATGTAGTTAGCACATTTTTATTTGAAGGAATTACTTCATTTTAACTTGCAAATTTCA